GGACCCATGCATCTCCAGGTAAATCTTCTAGTTTTACATAAAGTTATCTACTTATTGCCTGAATATGGAAATTTTGGAAATTCCAGTCGTCATAATATATAGATTTCTGATAGTGTTGTCCCTGAAATAATATCTTGTGTAGAATGAGAGAGTGAATATTGACTAGTGATTAGAGCAGATGACTAGGAATTAGATGTGTTCAGCTATATTTGTAACTCTGCCTCAAAATCTCTTGTAGCCTTAGGCAATTTAGTTAACCTTACTGTGTTTCTAGCTGTAAAATGCTTAACTTGCTAACAGTTATATTACTAACTTTATTTTTCAAGTGCTTTGAGATCCCACAGAGGAAAGATCTAGCAATACAAATTATTGTTTGACTAAATAAAATCAACTATCAGAGAAGAAAGCTTATGAGAGATTATAGTAGATTTGCTTTGAGACTAACTGTACCATGATGAATGTAATGTTGTCTTCTCTGCAATACCAGCTGTGAAATATGCAATTGCAAGAATTTTTTTTTTTACATTTTAGACATTCTGATTAATCGGAACTTGTTTGGTTTGGTAATAGCCGCTGTGAAAAACCATTTGCTTATTTCACAGACAAGAGTAATCTGATCTTAACTTTTCAATTTCCATGGAAACAATATTAGAGTGGGAGTTTGTTGGTTGATGTGCTCATGTTTTATTTTAACATTTTGGGTATGTGTTACAAATTGTCAATGGTGTTTGATTGTATGTTGAGACTATAACAGGACTGATCCAGTACAACATAAGTTGAGGAAGGCTATCTTTCTTAAACTAACATCTTAGCCTCATTATATAGAACATCTGAAACTCCATTAAAGTTGCACAATGATTACATAAGTAGACATTGATTACACACCTGTAAATTCAAACCACGATCTTCATGAGTGGTTATAACCAGTAAAAAGGTTATTTTCAGCATGTACAATTATATTCAGACTGAAGTATTGAAAGAGGAATTCTCTATTTTAGAATCTTTATGCCTTTAATTCCTTAGATTTTCAAAGAATATATGTTGAGTAACTGTTTCTTTTTAGTATAGGCATGATTAGAAGCACTACCTATTATTAAAGTTGCCCAGTGTTTTTCATTCTACGATCTTGTTTTCAATAGCTTATATTTAAGCTAACTTTTACTGTTTGTGTGGAGTTTTCCAATGCAGGATGTCTGTCTCAAACTCCAGTTTTTTGGATAGTTTCACTCAAAACAGTTCAGTCAATTCAGTGAATATGGCTAACGAAAAATAAATTGCTTGTATTTTAGAAAGTTATTGAGACCTTTTCTTTGAAATGCTCTAGCATAGTGCCTTTCAAGCTAATGTCAATAGACCTTAGGACTGTGGAGATTACGTCTAAGATTTCCAAAGGGGTATACATCTCCACTGAATTCTTTCAGTGATATGTCAATTTTAAAAGGTTGAAAACCACTACTATAGCATCCCTGTGCTTTGAAGCAGGGACTTCACTTTACAACTTTGAGGTATCCCCAAACCAGGTCCATCCTGTGCATAGAATGACTCACAGGTGCTTGACTTTGCTTCCTTTTAACATATTGTGGTGTGTATGTGCGTGTATGGTAAGATGAAAGATTTTGAGGTGTCTAACTTAAGATCTGTATGGCCTGATTTTCAGAGGTATTGAACATTCACAATTCCCCTTAAAAGCAGACTCAAGATGTCTAAATTTAGTGCCAAAAATTACTAGATTATTTTTAGTGGGCTGGAAGTCACCAATAAAGCATGAAGGGGAAACTCTGTTTATGTATATACATGGCTGATAATTTAAATAGAGTAGTTAATTTCTAATATCGTTATATTAATTTTTCAAATTAGTCAAAAGTAGAAAATTAAAAGTAACTATTTACCAAGCTACCATTTTCAACTCCACAGTTAATATAGAATTGTGTCTTGTATTTGAATCAGAGTTTTAGATTTTGCTAACAAAGTGTACATTCTGTCCTCCTAAAACAAAGTTGCTATTTTAGTACTGAATGACCTTTCTGAAAATTTACAAGTAATTCTGATAAGTTTGGATTGAAATTATTTTTTTAAATGGGTCATTTGGATATTTACCTTGAGGGAGATCATTTTTGTCAGCAGCTACTATCTACAGATAAAAATGGCAGGGAAAATGCCATAATGGGAAATATTTAAAAAATTAGGATAAATGGTAGCTTTTTTTCCTGTGCTTTGTGGTTGACAGTTAGTGCTTCAGCAGTGACTGAATAATGTTCTTTGGAGTGCCTGAAGCCACAAGCTGTTCTCAGCAAAAATAGCCGCGACCTAATTCATCTCCACCTTACAGTGCTTTCTGATAGCATGAGGCTTCCACCTTCCCAGGGCAGCTTAACTTCAATCCAGTGAGGAGCAATGAAAGACATTTGTCACTTTTGCTAAAGGGCAACCTGTGACCTCAGACTCATTGAGAAGGCAAATTCTAGATATTTTGAAAGAAGGAAGTTCATTAGTTCTTCTGAATGGTGAGAGTTTGTGCCATTCTCTGTGAAAGCCTTTTTCTTGGAAAGAGTTAAAGATGATAGAACCCTGTACATTCCTAAAAACCAGACAAGGTTAGGTGGGAGAAAGGGAGAGTCTTGGCAATATTCACACAAAGATTCTACTATGCTTTTAAGTCAGATCTGGGCATCATAGCTGTTTCTCTGTACCTTCATTTATTTGGGTTTCTTTTCACTGTTAACCTGCATGCTGACTTCCCGGTTTATAATGCTTGTTTGGAGATAATTACAACATTCCTATTATGTAGTTTACCCCAAGTAACTGATATATTAGAGAGTAAAATATACCATATGGAAAGTACAATATCTTCAGATTACATGCTATTTAATATGTAAAAGACTTGTTAGAAGGTATAAGTGACCTTTTCGTAGAATTATTTGACGGTTATAAGTTTGGTTTTTTTTTTTAATTTTTATAGTTCACAAGCTTGCTTTGTCTGAAATTTCACTTACATTAAGTTTTATTACCAATATATCTTTTTTTTTAATAGCAAGCTGTGAAGGAGAATATCAGAAGAAGAGAAGCAGAGGAAAAACAGAGGCGTGTGAGAATAGCTAAGGAAAAAGCAGAAAAAGAAAAATTAGAGAGGCAACAAAAGAAAAAACGCTTGCTAGAAATAAAAACAGGTGAGTAATATGGAAAACTGCCTTTTCTATCTAGTGTTATATAGAAAATGGAACTACAGCTTCTATTTTGTTATTATTTTGATGTGTTATGGAGGAGAGACAAAAATAAATAACTTCAGCTAAATAGCACAGAAATGCTGTGCTTAATTTTGATTTTAACAACTTGTTCCAGCTTATCTTCTTTTCTCAGTCTATACTAGACTTTGAAATGATGGTTGGTACTTTCCCATTCACTATTTAGTGAACATTTTGTACTCACATATTAATGATTTATCTCCGTTAAAGCCAACCTGAAAAAGAAACAAACAAAGTCACTTCCCAACTCATGAATGCACTTTATTTATATTTTAACTAAGGGAAACTGTGATTTTTAGAATTACTCCTTTTATGACAATTGGCTTCTTTTATGTAGCTAAAATTCTTCTTGGGAGTATGTGTCAGTATGGATCCCATTGTGAGCTTACATGTGCCTTGTGCACCTGTGAATGGAGTTATTTTGTTTATCGTTCTCCACAAGAACGCAGCCAGGAGGACAGAGAACAGAGAGCCACGTCTCCATTCAAAAAAAATGCTCCTCTGGTTTTAAAATGTGTGAGAAGTGCCGCAATCTTATGCTCACTTCTGATGGCTACGGCATCACCACCCTACACCATTTTTCACAAAGACAAGGTTGTTCTTTGATCCTCTTGCTTGTATAACGTTAGCTCCGATGTCCACATCAATGAACCTATTATCCTCCCCACCTTCTGCCCAAAGCCTCATGCTTCCCAAGAGGAGACCGTTCTATACACCATGGATGTCTGAAATAGGGATGTTAACTATTGGTTATTTTACTAGTTGAGTAGCCGAAGGAATTTCCATCAACTACTCGACACCCACTTCTGCATTCCTCCTTTGAAATGTACAAGAGCCTCCAATGGGGCTCGGCATTACAAAGGGGCAGCCACGGTGTTTCAAAGGGGCAGCTGCACAGCTGATCCCGGGCTCAGTTATGCAGCGCTGCCTCTTTAAAGTATCCCTTTTTCTCCCTCCCTTTGCTGCCCCTATCTGATAGAGGCAGAGTGTGTGTGGGCGGGGGAGGAGGGAGAGGGTCTGAATCAACTAGTCGACTGACTATCTGATAAGCATTTGCTTATCGGATAGTTGACTAGTCCTTAACATCCCTAGTTTGAAGAATATTATAGTTCTATGTAGACCGTACACGACCCATCCAAAAATCACAGATCCTGTTTGTTTCACTAACAGAGCATTCCAGGGGAATTCCACTTTCATCACAGCATGTCTCAAAACTGATAACATCCTGCATCCTTGAGTCTTACTCCATCCAAAGCATACCTCTCCCTGCACTCTGTAGAGCGCACTCCACTCGAGTGGTGGCAACATCAGCAGCCTTTCTGAAGGGAGTTCTACTTAAAGACATTTGTCGTGTGGCTACCTGGGCCTCTGACCATACTTTCATGAGTCACTATGAATGGACATGAGTTCCGTGGTAGCCAGCACAATCCTTTCATCTGTGCGTAAGACCTAGCTGAAGCCCACCTACTGTGTTTGGGTACCGCTAGGTGGGTACCGCTTGGTAGTCACCGACAGTGGAGCCAACCACAGGGACATTACTCGAAGAAGAAAGGGAAGGTACTTACCTTGTGCAGTAATGACAGTTCTTCGAAATATGTATCCCTGGGGGTGCTACACAACCCACCTCTCCTCTCTTCTTCGGTTTGACACTCACAGAAGAGAGCATTCACAAAGAAACTAAGGGAAGTCAGGCCGCACACGCTAACTCCAAAGGCATGGCCCAACTAGCTACTGCTAGAAAAAGTCTCTGATCTGTGGTACATTCTTTCAGAACACTTCACTAGATGCCTAAAAGGGGCACAACTGAGGAAGGAGGCCATAATGGTTAAAAAAAAAAAGCAATCTGGTTGAGAGGAGAGGTAAAAGCAGTTGCAAAACAATGTATATAAAACAAGCGGAAGAAAGGTGAAGTGGGTGGCAATAAATGTATATCAAAAGCCAAGAATTTGGGGGGGAAATATATAAAAGAAGTAGTGTAATATTGCAGAACTGGTAAAACAAGAGGAAATGCCTCTTTTAATCTGCAGTGGTAGAATGTGTAAAGAGGTGATGAGTACTTTATTGTTGATACAGTTCCTCTGCTAGTACCCCTCTTTCTTTTTACCAGTCTTTATCCAGTCTAATATAATGCTTGGTACTGTGTCTTTAAAAACCTTCTCATCAAATAAAAATGTAGGTGTTGATAATGTAGTGCCCTAACTCTTTATACACATGTATTTTCTGTTAATTAAGGGGGCAGCCAAGGGCTGAGGCATAAGCTACAGGGGCCATCAACTCAAATAAACGCTAATAATTATTTTGTGTAGGTACATATCAATGTAGAATCATTTGTATCTAGATAGATGAAAATAATGATTGCAGACAACTTACATCCACTTGGATGGGCCAAATGCCAACTTTGTCCCTGCTTTACAAAAAATCTAATATTTGAAAATGAAATATGGGTTTATGTATTGGTATCTGCAATGCATGTAATTTGATTCATTTAATTTATATGTGGCAAACTAGAATTGAATCAAATTGTGTGTGGCTGACATTTGGTATTTATGATTTTGGGGAGGAAGAATGAAGAGTGTATTGTAAGCAGTGCTGAAAAAATATACTTTAACATTTATTATTATAAATTAGTATTCATCTTAAGAATACTAACACCCTAGAAGCCTCAGATCAGGAGTTTCTCCCATCATGCTACACACTCATGAAAATATAGTCCCACTCTTAAACATCTTGTAATCTAATATCTATTTAATACATTTTTAAAACAATCTTCCTTTACCAAAATTTATATATTGCTCCTTCACTGGTATTTTAGGTTATGAAATATACAGCTAGAAAATATTTTATATTTTATTTATCTGCATATCTGAAACAGTACCTTTACTGTTCTTTCATTAAACAATTATAGAGGCTTTTTTATTATAATATGTATATTATAAAAGGGAGCCTTGATTTGGTTTATTGAAGCTGCTATGATGTATCACTTAATTCACAATATTTGTTTTACTCAGTACATTTTCTAGACACTGTAGTCTGTCATGGACAGCATGTAAATTTTCTGTCCTATAGTTTTTAATTGTTGTGGCTTATGCATACACTTCTGGTCTGTACAATTCTTTAGAGTGAAACTATTTTATTTTTTTTTCTTTGCACTCACTAACAGCCAGATCCATCTCCCAAATAAAACAACTAAAAGACTTTCAATAATTTCAGTGGGAAATGATCTCAAGAGTTAAATCCACCTCTACTAGACAGAGTCAAAGTAAATATACTCTGTTCAGGAGACTGCTACATAGGACTGGATATTATGGGTCTTTTAAAAATACACTGTTTTCCAAAATAGATAAATAGGTTAATTGTACATTAAATAGTGATAAAGTTTCTCAGGGATAAAATATAGGTTTGTATCTCTCATGGCAGAACTATTCATTTTATTATTTCCATGAAAATAAAATTAACATTTATGATAACTCTGTTTTTATGGGTGTTTTTCAAAGATACAGATCTGAATGTTAGACACAAATATCTCCATATTTTGAGGTATAAAAATAAATTTGCTTATGAACTTTGAGACTCAAATATAGTCAAACATAGTGACATTTGGGTTTATGTGACTAACCATAACAACAGATCTTAACTTGGTGGTAAAAAAAAGCTACATATTTTCTACTGAGACTCCACATTAATTCTGAGAAAATATTTTATTCAGTTAAAACACTTAAATATTTATTTTTTTCTAAAACTGGTAGTCCTTAGCAAAAATAATGCAAAATGTGACTGTTTTTGTTAAAGCAGAACAGAAGAGAACAAAACCAGTTCCCCAAACTCTTCTCAAAGGGTATGTCTACACTACCCTCCTATTTCGAAATAGGAGGGTAATGTAGGCATACCACAATTGCAAATGAAGCCCGGGATTTGAATTTCCCGGGCTTCATTTGCAATTGTGGTATGCCTACATTACCCTCCTATTTCGAAATAGGAGGGTAATGTAGGCATACCACAATTGCAAATGAAGCCCGGGATTTGAATTTCCCGGGCTTCATTTGCAATTGTGGTATGCCTACATTACCCTCCTATTTCGAAATAGGAGGGTAATGTAGGCATACCACAATTGCAAATGAAGCCCGGGATTTGAATTTCCCGGGCTTCATTTGCAATTGTGGTATGCCTACATTACCCTCCTATTTCGAAATAGGAGGGTAATGTAGGCATACCACAATTGCAAATGAAGCCCGGGATTTGAATTTCCCGGGCTTCATTTGCAATTGTGGTATGCCTACATTACCCTCCTATTTCGAAATAGGAGGGTAATGTAGGCATACCACAATTGCAAATGAAGCCCGGGATTTGAATTTCCCGGGCTTCATTTGCAATTGTGGTATGCCTACATTACCCTCCTATTTCGAAATAGGAGGGTAATGTAGGCATACCACAATTGCAAATGAAGCCCGGGAAATTCAAATCCCGGGCTTCATTTGCAATTGCGGTATGCCTACATTACCCCGCTAGTTCGAACTAGCAGGGTAGTGTAGACATACCCAAAGATATTAAATTATATCCATCATGAAATGCTTTTGAATTAAGATTTCTCACTCTTTTTAAGCCAGCATACTTTAGTTCCATGGGTCAATAGCTAATGGAAAGGGATCTTTACATAAGATGTAATGTATACTAGTAACATTTAGGGACTAGACTTATTCATTCTGTTCAGATTCTCAGCAGAAAGCATGCCAGTCAATTATTTGGATCCTATCACGTGTAAAGAACCCTAAAACTGTGATAACATCAGCTAAATTTATTGTATTATAACTGAGAACTCCATCATTGTGGCATCTGTTTGAATACTACTTAGATAACAAGCCACTTCAATCAGTAGTTATTTACATAGTCTACTCTTTTTTTATTCAAAAGCAGTGAAGTGATGCCAC